CTTTCTACAATGCCGTAGTGCTTGAATGAAGGTGTAAGAAAGACCCAATTTATGTTTAAATGTATTAAAAACAAAATTTTCGGATGTAATGTACATTTGCTGAAATGTACACAGCACCTTTCTCAGGGTGCTGTGTACATTGCTATATTGTACACAGCATCTTGAGAAAGGATGTAGGCTACATCCGAAAATTAGTTTTTTTTTTAATATACTTAAACATAAATTGGGTCTTTCCTTCACCTTCAAAATATTGATGTTACATGTTCAAATTTGATTATTGCAAAAATATGACTAATATATTGCACAACAATCGGCATGCAATAATGCCACAGATACGGCAAATATTCACTACTAAACCTTATGTCAAAAGTTGAAGAATGTTGACAATGCACGCAAATTCCTCGGTTTATTTAGAGAAACAATGAGAGCAATCAATGGGAGGAACGAGCGCCAGTAGACTAATATATCCCAAGAATTGTGTGAAACTACGCTGGCTGGTGCTGTTTCTCGCGCAGCCTCGCCAAGAGAGAGAAATAGGAGCGCTCTGCGAAGCAAGACAATACATTTGGGTTCCCACTAGTATTACATAAGCAGAGAACTGTTCGATATACCAAGAAGAGAGACAATAAGGCGCTTGAGGCCGGGCAAGATAATGACAATGGAAACACTGCTGGACATTGCGCAATGGGGTGCCCCTCGTGGCTTGTAACTAGGTCGAGGAGGCAGATGACTGCCAATTCCTCGCAGCGTAAGAGGCTAAATCTCGTCTGACAAAAACGAGCGGCAGGCTTCTGATGCCACAGATTTGTGACGTATTTTTGCGTTACTTGATGATTTCTGCCAATTAACACTCGCCAGCAGCAAGAGCAAGAGTTTTGACAGCGAAGGGGAACCATGTACACAAAGGAGATACGCTTATTGGCTGATGGCAGAGAGCCACAGGCAACATTAAGAACAGCTTCCACTGCATTTTAATGAAGGATAATGTGTTGGATGCTGAACTGCCAGATGGCTACCTTAATATACTCTTAATAATTTCGAAATATTAACACGTTAATTGTGAACAATGAATATAATAGATTTATTGCAAGGCCTGAAACCTTTCTAAATTGGCTGTCTGTTATGAAACACATCTCTCCTGTTGTGACCACAAAACAAGGATAAAATAGTGTTCATTTCTTCCTTTGACTTCATGTTACATAATAACACTCTAAGAAGGGGAACTCAAACATTGAGGCACAGATAGAGGATCGTCAGTTTGTCAAGATTGATTTGAACTGTTTCTGAAGCGTGCAATCTGTAAGAATAATGACTGCTTATGAAATCGTTCCACTTAATACTGTATTATTATAAAAAACAACAACATTATAATTATTTATTCATATGCAAGTAAGAACATGGGAACAAATGACTCTGGCCAGTTTACGAGCGTCTAGTTTTCTCTCCATCTTGACCGGACGACCGTGAAGGTGAGTACTGTGTTCAGGTCGGTCAGCGGGCCACGGATGGCCTACATGGACAAAGCTGTCACTTTTACACCAGATATAGTAAATTGGACATACATATTAGTCGGTGGCCGACATCTCTTTTGCAGCCCAAAAGGCAAACCATCTGTTGTCAACATGCGCCGACGGTGACCTATATTTTTGTATTCCTTATTTAGAAGTTACATACATTAGTGTAGCTACGTGCCTAAGCTAAATTTCTAAAGTGCCTAAGCTACTTGTTCTAAATGGTGGCTACACCGAGTGAGTATCCTACAGCTTTAGAATAATTGCTTCATATCGACTTGAGAATGGTCCAAGACGGACCGAAACGTCGTCGTCCCTTTACTTTCTAGCGTGTGGTTTCGTCAACATATTTCAGCCACGTTATTGTGACTCCCCGTTTGCATAATTGCTTCACTTATATTGGCACGGAAAGCCTTATTGATTACTTATTGTCAGCTACCATGTGCTGGTTCCTGGAATCGACATTCCCGGATCCAAAGACATCTATGATAACGTTGCCCATGCTTGCCTGACCTTCAACTAGGTTGTGATCTGAGAAATATGTTTGCATTCATTATGTTCCTAAACAATTCATCCGTGTTTGCGAAAATAAGGTCTAGTGTGTTGTTTTGAGTTGGTTCCACTGTTTGCTGGTTTAAGGCAAATCTATCCATAAGAGGTCATTTGTGTGTAACTGTGCGATTTAGATTGCTTCCTGAGATTCGATCTGATAAACCAGTATTTGCTACATATTCCCATATTAGGTGCCTTAAATTGAAGTCACCAAGCAAAGTTATGTTTGAGGTAGGGTTCGTGAGGTTTTCTAAGCTAAGCAAATCTGGGCAAATGGAGAAACCTTTGACAAGCCGCCAGCTTTCTGTCCTCGTCGAGGTTGTGGCCCCTCAGGTAAATTCAGGTAAATATCGTTTGCAGTGTTTAACAGCTCAGTGCTGATGAGTGTCTTTCATGTACAGGCTGACCCCACCCTGTAGCCTATATGGTAAATGTTTTCTTCAACAAACATCTCAAGGTTGTTTCTAAAATATGTGTAGTATATAGAATAATGAGTTTGCTATGCTAATATATATTTGAAATATGTTATTACTCCAACAGCACACCGTCGAGCAGGTCGCCGTATATATGTACCATAACCTATAAAAGCAAAGTCCTGTAAACGCAGGAGGCGGCCTAGAAATTTGGCAGTCTTGCCTCCGCTTGCTAGTGGACCGTAAATTCTCTGACGTTTGAATGAAAACGTGTTCGGATTATCGACCCGTTGCTCTGCAGTGAAGGCGTGTTCGAACTATCGCTCTGCAGGCTGTCGACCCATATTTCTTCAAAGAAGACATAACCTCCCTATCAACCCATAGCTCTACAGTGAAGACATATAATAAGACTGTTGCCCCATTACATTAAAACTACTGTAGTGGGTCGACAGTCGGCTCTTTACAGTACAACTGAACAAAACATTGTTTACCACAGTGATCAAGCTTACCCAAGAGTAGTTATTGTGGATGATGGGTGTAACTCGGCACCGAGGAAGGTCGGTGAAGTCTGACATGATTCACATGATTTGTACATAGATAATGTTGGCCAATCCACACACTAGAAAATGAAGGGACGACGACGTTTCGGTCCGTCCTTGACTATTCTTAAGTCGACAATCGACTTGAGAATGGTCCAGGACAGACCGAAACGTCGTCGTCCCTTCATTTTCTAGTGTGTGGATTGGTCAACATACTTCAGCGACGTTATTGTGACTCATCGCTTGTACATAGATAATTCAGCTGCTTTAGTATCCCAGTTCCAGCTTTTCTTTAGTGCTATATTGTTAAATACAATACTATATTGTTAAAGGAAAAAATGCCTTTCACTTAAATTAGTTTTTGTTATATGAAGGTCGGGAATTACAGTGAGTTACATACTAAATTTTGTTAGGAAGGTTCAACATGCATTAGCTTGTTTCCAATTAAAAAAACGTAGCAACACAGTAAATTAAGGGCTTGCAATTAACTGAAAATTAACCAAACCAGTTGTTACAGCACACCTCCAAAACAGGATCATACATAAATTTGGACCCAATTTGGATTTGTGCCAAATAAAAAATCTGGACTTTTTTTTTGGGAGGGAGGGGGGTAGTACTGTCAAATTATACCATAATCTGAATCATCATCTTAGAAGGTTTAAAGACTTTTGTCACTTTTTTTTCACCATGGCTTTCAGTTTTATTAACAAGCTATATGATTAACTTCTTTTGCTTTCATGTCAGAAACAGCACTAGTACTAATGCTATACTCCTCTTCCAGTCACTTTTCTCCCCAGTCATGATCTAATAACTCAGCCATATTAATAAGGGAGATGATTATGTTTGACATACAGTACCTTTATTACTATTGTAGGATGACATGGCTTCAACGTGCAAATAATGATACTGTATATCAGAAGAAAAGCCAGTGAAAGTGCTTGAGTAATGCAGCCCATTCTCCTGATTAGGTAGTACTTATTGCAACGGTTAGGATCATTGTACATATAAAAGACGTAAAACGCAATTACAAAGTAGAAATCGGTACAATGGAATTTGGACAAACTGGAAAAGATGTTGTACGGATGTTGCAAAGAAAACTTAACCTAACCTTCCTAGGCCAAATACATGCTCTATGAGGCCTAATATAGTCTTATATGTCATACTGGGCCTAGGAATACTGTATTTAAGTTTGGTTTTTAGTTTTAACTCTATAAAGTGAATTAACCAAATTCAAATATCCAATTGTCTATTATGTCTATGTATGTACGATGGTCCACATAGTTACAAAACGTACTATCTAAACAGGAGGATTGGTTGAGTATTGAGCGGTGCTCTACACGTATTCACAAAGAAAATACACTGCCGGTATGTGTGCCTTCACAGTAAGTCTTAATGCCTTTGAAAAAACATAACAATAGCAAGCTCATTTGTACACTTTAGAATACACTGTACAGCATAAGCATAGTTAAACATTTGCAAACTATAAATGCATCATTTTGAATAATAATATTGCAAATAAAATGGCAAGATCGGCAATTATAAGAAAAAATACGATTTGACAAATTACTTGTGATAAAATGATAATCAGGTTTATACTGCATGTCATCCTCTTATATTTTGTTAAATTTTAATTTTTGAGGGAAAATGTGGGTTGGTAGGTTTGGTCCTTTATTTAAAGAGGGAGTTGTTATAAGGAGGTCCAGATTTAGGAGGGGTTCACTGTGTAACTTTTTAGTTTTAATCTTATTTAATTTGCATTTTTAATGGCCCCCAAATTTAAATTAAATTGCTTCATTTCACAATTGTAAAATCATAATCCATGTGGCAATCATGCACTTTAATTAGTGAAGTTTCCCTACTCATAATACCAATAACAATACTGTACAGTAATTTCTTTGTTCACATGGTGGCAGGCAGCTCATATGAGAATATTCTGCTGCACAAATAATTGTATTTTGTAAATTCATGTTTAATAATAATAATTATAATAAACACTCTTTATTCCTACATGATAATACAGTACATTTATAATTACAATCAAACAAATCTGAAGTTGGTGAGCACTACTGTATCAACAAACATTACATCAATAGTGTAGAAAATGCAAAATTGAGCATTGACTTTAATTTAAAATATTTTGCCTGTAAAGGCTTGTTAAATTCATTAAAATTACCTTCAGTCTAACTGGGGAAATGCCATAGGCAAAAGGAATGATGGTGTGCTAAAAATTCTATGCTAACTCTCCCAACTGCAATATGCCGAGCTCAGCGTCTTCCTGGAATTTTGTATCATGCCAGACATGTACTGTATGAACTTGTCAATTATTCTTCAGGGCTCGGTCCCGAACAGTTAAGATAAAAGGACAATGATTGTACTGTATATCTTCAAGTGTGCATAGTACACAGAAACATTCGTATACAAGAAAATTGCATTTGCAAATATTGTTAAACTCACAATTTACATTTACTGTTTAGATACATGCTCCGCTTGAACCAAAATTATTATGTACAGAAGCATTTCTAAAACCAGTTAACTCTGACAATCAAACCTGACTGTACCATTTTCAATGGTAAGTCTGATTGAAAATATCTGCTTAAACTAACTTTAGTTTTCCTATATAAATTAACATCAGTATAAAATTTAAAATGAATGTACACTTCTATATTATAAATAACATGTTTATCAGTGATTATTATTTCATAAACCTTTTCATAGGACCCTTTATTAATTTCCTATACTATACAAATAAAGCCCTAATAATTATAATGAATTACAAATGTGAAACACTGGAAAGACGTTCGTTTTTTAACTTTTAATTTTTGTTAAAACAATAAATTTTCTTTAAAAAAAAGATATTACTGTATTTCACATATATCACATACTGTATATACTAAGTCCTAAAAATAATAATCCCAATTTGGACAGGAACTGACTATTGTTATAATCTATTGATATCAAGGAAAGAAACACAATACTATATATGTATATAAACCTTTATTAGTGTTTTTTTCTATCCTTTTTTGAGTCTTTGGAGTTGTTTCGTCCTTTCTTGTTTCCTGCAGCTTGCTTTTCCTTTGGTCTGTTGCTGACCAGTGGATGAACCTCTAAGGATAGAAAATTAAAACTTGTTATTTCTATACAAAAACTACAATTGTAAATATTCATGTTCTATATGTTCCATGCTTCATTGGAAAATTAATATCTACAAAAACTTGACTCCTACAGTTTAATCTTACAAAACCCCATCATAATAGAATTTCATTTCTCCTTTATTGTCATTAACCTACAGTAATTAAGCTTTTGTGCTACATAATTTTCCTCAACTGAAGATGAAAATATGGTGAAAAGTCATGATGAATGTTATTAAGTGTCCTACATAACTTTTACAATGCTCTCATAACTCGAGTGATTGGCTGCTCTGCACTAATTGCATAGAGGTGATGTTAGGTGTGCTGTAATATTCAAAAGTCCCACCAATCCTAGGGGAATGTCATTAGACACTCAATACCTTTGACGATTGTTTGTCATTGCTAAGAGCAAATTGGTAGGGATTGTTAGCCATAGGTAGTACAATCTGTTTTGTTCTCGACACACAACTGAGAATTTTGAGTTCGAATCCCGGATGGGACAGAAATGGTTGGGCGCATTTCCTATCACCCACCCCTGTTCACCTAGCAGTAAATAGGTACTCGGGAGTTAGTCAGCTTGTTGTGGGGGTTGCATCCTGGGCAGGGCCGATAATTTGACCTCTATTTAAGCCTAATGTGTACAAATCCACTCTGGCTGCCTGTTGCCCGACAATGAATTATTATTAACAATTATTATATTTGAAAAAATCCTGAGTGCCTTGGTTTTTTTCCAGAGGCCTAGTAAGATGAACACCACCATCGAGCAACTAAACATGCAGAGTGACCATGCTGCACTGATGACATATACACTTCAAGTTCTCAATTGAAGTCTATTTGATGTAACAATATCTGATTTTGCTGAAATTGTGGCCATAATGATCTTGTATGATCATGCTAGAGGTGACAAAATAGGTTAGTATTCTTGGTGCAAGATGGAACAATGGTTGTGTTAGAAAACACTGTTTTCATGTAGTCAATTGAAGTTAATTTGCTCCCACAAGCTAATGATTGTGATGAAAATAGTAATATTGTGGTATGTAATGATCGTTGTCTTAGAGATGATCAATAAGCGTGTTGTTAAGAAAGAAATGTTTTGCCAAATTGAGCATATTTTGTGCTACAAGATACTAAATTTGATGTAAAGAATGTTAGTGTGGGACATCAATCATGGAATATGAAAAATATCCATCATAGACATGCATTTTTTGAATTGCCAGTTAGATCATATTTGGTACTACAAAATTCTGATTCTGATGAAAATGTCTTGTGATTTTGTTGCTAATAGTGAGGGAGGGAATTTTTATGCTATTGGTAATATGGCAAGTATGAGAGTTCACGGTGCAAGGAAGTATGAGCGTTCATAATGCAAGTATGAGTGTTCATGGTGCAAGGAAGTACGAGAGTTCATGGTGCAAGGAAGTATGAGCGTTCATAATGCAAGTATGAGTGTTCATGGTGCAAGGAAGTACGAGAGTTCATGGTGCAAGGAAGTATGAGAGTTCATGGTGCAAGGAAGTACGAGAGTTCATGGTGCAAGGAAGTACGAGAGTTCATAATGCAAGTATGAGTGTTCATGGTGCAAGGAAATACGAGAGGTCATGGAGCAAGGAAGTATGAGAGTTCATGGTGCAAGGAAGTATGAGGGGTCATGGTGCCAACAAGTACAGTATGCCAGATAGTACCTTGCATGATGCACAATATCTACCTGGCAGTCTATGAAAAAGAGTGTTGTCTATAACAGTATACTGACTACATAAAACCTGTTGCAGTGCCAGCCAGGTCACAACTGCAATGCTTTTCATTCAAAATAAACAGTCTCCGTGGTGTAGTGGTAAGACACTCGCCTGGCGTTCCGCGAGCGCTATGTCATGGGTTCGTATCCTGGCCGGGGAGGATTTACTGGGCGCAATTCCTTAACTGTAGCCTCTGTTTAACGCAACAGTAAAATGTGTACTTGGATGAAAAAACGATTCTTCGCGGCGGGGATCGTATTCCAGGGACCTGCCCGAAACGCTACGCGTACTAGTGGCTGTACAAGAATGTAACAACTCTTGTATATATCTCTCAAATCTCATAAAAAGAGTAGGGGATCAAAAATGCATATTGCTGACTACATATAGTGCAATAGCAGAAACGTTATGTTGAGCTTTGCACTGTTTTTTTTTAATTGGCCATCACACTCTTCAGTACATTTGACAATGGCAAATCAGTGATATCCATGTATATATATTTGTATGTAAAATGTGTATTATGTACAATTGTAAGACTTAGGCTCATAAATATTGATATGAATAAATACAGGTTGTATGCACAGTGATAAGTATATATTTATAAATATATTTCCCAAGTTAAACATAATGAATACCGCCATTGACACCCCAATACATCATTTGACCATGGAAAAAGTAAATAAATTGATAAATGGAAAGTAAATGGTAACTTGGACCATTTACCCACCTACCAAAACCATGCAAATTTACTGGGCCATTACATCTAAACCATGGTAAGTAAGAGACTTATTGCGTGGATATTTATGCTTTCTGAACGCTAATTAACATCATCATAAGAAAAATATTTGTGTGCATGGCAGACACTAAACAATTTTAACCTGCGTAGTCGAGGGGTTAAGAATGCCCTACACATGTAGAGTACAAAGTATTTATTATAAACACTTTCTTTGTCATGTGAATATTGCAGTTTCCCTAACCAAAGTTCTGTATATTTTCACCAACTGTCATGTAATGGGTTAGTGCACACACCTTAGAATTGAAAGAACCTCGGTTCAAATCCTGGGCAAGGTGGGACTACTAAGGCACCATTCCGTCAATCCATTCACTCAGAAGTAATTGGGTACATGGATTTAAAATGATGGGCAGATCAGATCATGTTCTGAGATAAACATGGTGCTTAAAAATCTAGTTGGTTTTGGTACCTAGTCTAAGATCTGTATCTCAACCTAATATCTATACTGGGAAACAAACACTTTCCACTTAGACCAACTCACTCCTCATTCGTATTGACCAAGCACCAAACTCATCCAGTCAAATGAACACACATCATAAAGGAGTCCCTTTAGCCAATGCCACCTTATCACACCAACATGTACTCATCAGCCAGTTAACCAAACATAATCACTGACTTATATACAAACCTACATCCTTCGGCAATATATAATAAACCACCAGATCAGTTCCTTTGTTATGGAGCTCGGTTTCTGAGCCCATTACTTGCCTTTGTAATCTTTTCCACCACTGCCAACACGATGGTTATGGGATGCATAATAAATTAACAAAAATCAAGTCAAGTTTCTTTAGAAGAAGTTGACAATTGTCTTCAACTATAGCAAACTAGAATAATTTTAAATAAAAAATTAAATGTTTATATTGAGTATTGTAATTTCAAGTTTATATCACATGTTTACTGGCTGCCTATTAATTCATCCACTCTTATAGCTTATTATTACTAAATATAACCTTATTCATAGCCATTTTCACTGAAAATACATTTATAGCTTGAACACGAAAGAAAAATGAGATCAAAAGATTTTCAAACTTACCCAGGCAACATAAATTTGTTAATGGGCAAAGATTGAATTCAAAATACTATACAATACTCTATTACATTTATCAGGATAAATTGCAGCTATCCATTACAGCTATCTTAAACAATGTACCCACCATCTGTTGGTGCATTTTCTAATGAAATGTCAAATGTTTTAGGTCTCTTCTTTTTTGGAGAAACATTTTCTTTACTGTCACCCGATCTCTTGGACGAGAGATCTTCATTTGGTGCACCCTCGGGACCCCAGCCTTCTTCAGGTTCTTCTATTTCAGGAGAGATGGGGAGGTACAAAAGAGCATTGCTGTCGTCATCTTCATCTGAGCTACAGAAGGCAGTAACTGGTTCTGTACTAGTCACATCAACCTTAAATGAAAGAAAAAAATAATAATGTAATAGGACAATGCAGTAATGAGAAAAATCCCTGGAACAGGGTGGGAATTGAACCAACATCCTGGTCAAAGCCAGATGCGTGCCATACCCCTGAGCCATTACCTGCTAAAAAGCTATTCAGCACAAGACCATCAATCACTGGACATGTTACTTTCTCAAACACCTGCATGTGCAGCCCATCCTCCTAAGGTTTCCCAACGTCAAGAAACTGTCGAGCTAGAGTGCCTTCTCCTAACCTACCAGAGATTCCAAAACAGAAAACAGGACAATGTCAATTTCGTGAGCTGCTGCTATTTTCTAGTATTGTACGATGATTTTTGGCCATGGGTAAAGTATGCATCAATATGAGTGCTCTTTTTAAGGGGATGGGTTGGCATGTGACCATTCAGTGAAGTAGTTTAATCCTGATAACTCTTCACTGGCCTCCTGCCAATAATTCTCCTTTTAAGCCATTATTTGTCCAGCAAAAGCAAATCATCTACACCACTGGTGAACACAAATTTTCTGTACATAGTAGTTGATTAGTTGTTGGTACACTATTATGTACTGTATGGTAAAATAAGTGGAATGTGTGTGATACTAAGATGTCTGAAATTTGTACCTATAGTTTTTGTAAACATTATGTTTATGAAGCTTGATTTCATGTTGCCCAAGATGTCCCTGGAATGCATCCTTCATGCTATGTGAGGGGCCTATTGAAGAGTATCTCATTCATGCAAAGGACTATTAACAGAGAACAGTCCCAAAAAGCAAACTGACTTCTGCAAATTGAGGAGGAGGGTTTAGTAAGCAAACACTGAGTAAAGTAAACTTTCATGCACAGAGAAGTGAATTGAAATACTGTACTGTGTTTAACTAATACCTTCTTTTCCTCATTAGAGCATCTATTGAATTAACTTTTTCTCAGAATACTGAGAACATACCATTTCTAAACTGAATTTCTATTGAATTAACTTTTTCTCAGAATACTGAGAACATACCATTTCTAAACTGAATTTCTATTGAATTAACTTTTTCTCAGAATACTGAGAACGTACCATTTCTAAACTGAATTCTCACACTCACCTCCACATCTTCTTCTCTTCTCTCTTGGCTCAGTTCAACGCTCTTGTCTTCATCACTCTGATCAAACTCTGATTCCCGTTCTTCATACTCAACATTTTCATCAAGCTCTTTAAAATCCGGAGCAAAGGCTGACCAGTTTTCTACCTGGTTCTGAGACCACACGGACACAACCCCAGAGCTGATGGATGCCATAATGGGTCTTACTGGATGCCACTGTGGAATGACATACATCTACATCAATTTTTAATAACACTACTGTATATATAGTTTGCATAAAGCTGGCATATCTCATGATGGAAATGAATTGTTGTTGATGGTGGTGGTGGGTGGCTTAATGAACATAGTGTGTATAATGTGTGCATTGGAAACAATGAACCGAGGGTGATACATGGGAGAGGGGTGTATCAGTTTGAATGAAACACGACTGTTAAATTATTTAACTAATACATATTCTTAGTTCATGTAATGCAAATAAAATATTGATTTCTAATATTATCATTTTACAATGGTAAAAAATCTCTAGGTCCTTAGAAAAGAGACAAAACAATCATTGCTATTCTTTACTGCACTACATGATCAATACTACTGCCTAAATAACAAATAATTTGCTAAGTAAAGCTTAGGTTCAAGCTTATATAGGTCTTACCACAACATCCAGCAGCATTTCTCCTTTGGTTCCGTGAAGAATCTTAACCAAGTTGCCAACACTTCGTTCCCAAATGTACAAAGAGTGTTGGCGTGCTGAGCCAGCGCAAATGTACTCCCCATCTCCAGAGAAACAACACTTTTTCCACATGGTTCTACAAAATCATAAACAACGTAATTGTCAATGTTTCTGTAAATCAATCTAGTATAGGTGGGAAAACAGTAATGCATACATCATTATCCAGTAACTGACTGCCATACGGTAGAGAGGTACTGTAGTCATCAGAAAGAAAGGCAAGAAAGGGGAGTAAGATAAAAGTAAAAGTTGTATGAAGATTTTAATTTAGCATTAAAAATCAGCATTGAATGTAATGGAATAGAAAAAATACACATTTTTTGTAAACTCTATATTTTATAGACCTCTTACTTATTAACAAGATCCTGCAGCTTCTGTGTAGGTTCAGGATCATCATCTTTTCCACACTTCAACACTTTACGTGCATCATATACACGAATTACACGATCGGCCGAGTTCACCAGAAAGTATCTGGAAAAGGATTAAAAAAAAAAGGACTATATATTAGATGATTTTATTACAGAGTACTGTTCATATTTAAATGTATTTATAAGTTAAATGTATTTTATAATTTAAAAATAAAATACTTCATCTCAAGCATGTCAATTTTTGTCATAATTTTGTACTGTATGAGGTGATTATATAATATTTTTTCTTCCATTTACTAGTTTTAATACCCGGTATATTTAAAGCCATAAGCCTGTCCTCGTGGCAAACTCGATGCTCTTTACAGCTGCTGCACTAGTGGGTTCCTTTTCCTTCTAGCTCATTTTTTTTTTTAAACTTGGGTGCAATTTTAAGTACTTGCTGTACTTTTATAAATGCTAAAACAACGCAAGTACCTGCAGATCGCACAAGCAATGATAAACATAATTAGGTGGTTACATTCAACTTAAGCAACTAGAACAAAGAATCTCCTGTATACAGCATTTTCTTCCTGTACTGATATACAGAGAGGCATAAAACATCACAAAAATTATGAATCGGTTATAAATGTTTTCCAGTTTCTAAAAGTTAATATATTCTTAGTAATTTTGACTAGATATTTATAAATATTATATTTATATTATATTTATAATATATATAAATAATAACTAGCATAGTCTGCATGGCTTTAGTATTAATACAAATAAAATTTAACAAATAATTATATTGTGTCCTGGCAATCTCTTGTATAAGTTATACTGCTTGAAATCTTGGAAATTACAGCTTTATTGATCAATACAAAATTAAAGATTTTCAAAGAACAGTACAGGGTGCAGTGTACTATATAGGGAAGGGAATAACTACCACAGCTTTAAAGATATCAACATTAAATTATATGAACAAAATTAAATTTATGAAAATTTAATTCAAAATAATCTTGATCGCACAAGTTTTGCAAAAAATCTCAAACAATCTTCATTTTTCACAAGCTGTACACTTTCTTCCTCCATAAATTGGCAACATTTTCTTTTACCTGAGGCCTCTGATGCAGTAAATAGATAACCTGGACTTAGGCAACTGTTGTGGGTTGCATCCTAGGGAAGGACATTAGTTGGATTAGGGGGACCAGACTTCTTGTCCTCGACCATGAGAAACCATATGGTGAACCATATTGCATATAATTGCATTAAAAACAATAGTATTGCACCCATAATACTGATTTAAGATACCAATATTTAGCAACTTGCATAAGTTAATAACAAGACCATTTTAATAACTAGAAATAAATAATGCTTACTCTGTCCTCCTGGCAAACTCGATGCTCTTCACAGCTGCTGCACTAGTGGTTCCTTGACCGATTCTAAATGTAGCTTTAATCTTCAATTCTGGACATGACAGAATTAAAAGTTTTCCACGACTATTGCCTGTAAAAATGTGTTCTCCTCGACGATCGAAGGATGCAACAATGTTGACGTCTCCCTGTAATAACATGAATAAAAATATTGAATACATGAATAAAATAAAATAACTTTCATACATTTCAGCAATGTTCAAAAATTACTTAATTTTTTTTCTAATATAGCAGAAAGTGCTGACAACAATATTAAAATACCAAGCCCAAAGTTGACGTTGAAACTGACATTTCGTTTAGAAGGACGTTGCGCCTGTAAGGGTGAAATGTCATCTTTGTTAAAATTTACTCTCAATGTTTTCTCTACATAAAGCAATAAATAAAAAAATTCTTTAACAATGCACCTCACAACTTTAAAAATCATGCATTAAATGTAATGAAATGCCTTCTTCTGACCGCAAGAAAAACACTGCTTCCTGAAATTTTGTTCTCTGAACAGATGTATTTTTTTTCTTTTCTGCAGGGATATTCCTGCGCTGGCCCTAAGCCTCTGGCTGGCCCACTAAGTGTTGCTTGTTTCTGTTTTACTTGGGCGGAGTATGAGTATTTATGACTCATATGGTCGCTTCAGTAAGAAACAGATGGTTGGCCAGTGGAAAGCACTGAAGGAAGTTGTTGAAACCCAATCCAGACACAACTTTTAGAAAAAATATGATGAAACATTAATGTTGAGAGAGGTAATTACCGTGCTCAGAATAAATGGCCAAGAGGCAGGACATAAAGTGCAACATCTTATTCCCTCTCAATCACTAATAGGTAAGCACTGTTTCAGCCAAGCCTTAAGAAGATACACTAGGTCTCCGAGACCAACCCTTGCTTACCAGGAGTCAGGGCCATAATCTGACTATCTCTCTGAGGTGAGGGAACTTAGGGATCAATCCAATACTGTACCAAGAAAATACCCACCACAAAGCATAAGTGGAACAAAATAAGCAATGGCTCAAAGAAAATTAGGTACCTGAATGTAACAAGGCACATGATCATTATTATGGGGTAAACATCCTAACCACGGTCTCCTGACTACCACTGGGTGGTAGCCCAGATGACCTGAATCTCCACAACATGCCCTTCCCTCACTTAGAGCTACTAGAACCAAACCCTTCACCACATGGCAAAGAAGGGAATAAGGTGGACCTACTGAGAAGGGAATAAGATGAGAATGTGAACCTACTGAGAAGGGAATAAGGTGAGAATGTGGACCTACTGAGAAGGGAATAAGGTGAGAATGTGGACCTACTGAGAAGGGAATAAGGTGAGAATGTGGACCTACTGAGAAGAAGGGAATAATGTGAGAATGTGGACCTACTGAGAGCCCTACCAGGAAAGGGCATTCCATTACATTCAATCTTGCTTTCTGGAAGGGCCCTCTTTAATCCCTTTTTAGTAGCAGTAAAATTTAATATGATCCAGAAAACATTGCTGCAATTCAAAATCCAGTTGGATACAATCATCATGACAAATAGGGGATGACTTTTGACAAGTCATCGGCTTACTGTCCTCGTTGAGGCCACTAGTGAGATGGTCTTCAGGTAAATTTGAGTAATAAGGAGTAGGGTCAAACAACAAGAGTGATGATGATGAGGAATAGCATAGCAATGGCTGTAGTGGCACTGGTGGCTTGCAACTTATAAAGGAATTGCTTATTTGTACCACATAAAGAGGATGAGGCTGTACATGATGCATTATCTGATGAAAATAAGTCATTACTAGGGCTTAGTGATCATGATGCTAGTGGTGGTGAAGGCAGGTGTGTTGATAGATGTGGTAATGGTGTTGCTAACCATGGTGGTGAAGGGAGGTGTGTTGGTAGATGTGGCAGTGGTGTCGCTAACCATGGTGGCGAAGGCAGGTGTGTTGGTAGATGTGGTAGTGGTGTCGCTAACCATGGTGGTGAAGGCAGGTGTGTTGGTAGATGTGGTAGTGGTGTTGCTAACCATGGTGGTGAAGGGAGGTGTGTTGGTAGATGTGGTAGTGGTGTCACTAACCATGGTGGTTATGAAGGAAGTGACAAGACCTAACCCCTCCCCCCTCTCCCACACAATTGTCAAATGGAGCAAATTCAATGCCAGACGCAAATGTAAATGGCTTCATGAAAGAATTTCAATAATTCGAATAAGTCTACATTAAAATATAAAGTTGAAAATTAAATATGATCATAACAACATGTGTAAACATTTTTATTTTGGAGGAATAATATAAAACTTAGTGTCTTACTTCATCATCCATAGGAATAATTTCATGTGTAGAATCTACATTAACCAATACTGCAGGATGCCTCATTGGGCAAACCAAGAACATCTTGTCATTTCTTGGGTGAAACTGAACCTGCAAAAAGTAAATTATGAACAATTTATTGATAACATAAAAACCAAATTATTGGATGGGATAGAAGGAAGAGGTAAAAGAATGAATGTTAAGAAGTTGAGTGAGAGAATTGGTAGTTGAGTACAAGATGAGCTGATAGTGCTATTGAAGAAAGAGATTTTGAACAAAGGAGCCTTACTGCTAAGGAGATGTGTACAAGAAATGTTTGGTTTAGATTCAGGAAATACCTGGGTAAATACTGGTTTAGAAACAAAGTTATTGAATTAGGAAACAAATTACCGGGTAACATAATACACATGAGATTGCAGAATTGTTTCATGAATAGGTTAGACATCTATATAAATGAGTTTGAGTGGATTAAAAAGAGAAGTCTGCCTTGTATGGGTGTCTTGCTGTGCTTCGGTAGCAGTTTGTTGTCTTACCTATATCTTACCTGGAGAGGATCTCAGGAGTTCTTCTACTCAGGAATTATTGACTTGTGATAACTGGTCCAATAGAGCTGTTGCTTGCAGCTGCCCGTAGGCCCACATATCCATTATAGCCCATCTGGTTCAGCACTTGCAAGAACTTATCTAATTGGTTCTTGAAGAAGTCCACCTTTGTTCCAGTAATATTTCTAATGCTTGCTGGGAGGGTATTGAATAGCTGTGATGGACCTCTGATGTCCACAGCTTTTCTTTTTTTTCTTTTGTTAGTGGATTTTGAATTTTTTGGTTGACGAATTTGAATTTTTTGTTGGCAAATTTTTTTTTTTTTTGCTGGCATTTATATTTTTTGTTGCAGATTTGTAATTTTTTGTTGGTAGATTTAGATTTTTTCTGTTGGCAAATTTTTAATTTTTGTTGCCAGATTTAGAATTTATTGTTAGCGGAATTGAAATTTTGGAGATGATGTTTTTCTGATCTAAGCTCTCCTCTCCTCCTGCCTTCTATCATGGGTAAGCCCAGTCCATCTTTTCTGCCTTATTAATCTTGTGTTTCCCTCTCAGGAAAGCCAGACTCCTCTGCCAAGACACTGTGACTTAACTGAAGGAGCTAATGAGGGGAGAGGGGCGGTCCTCCCAGAAAGCACATCAACTAAACAAGGGAAGGGAAAGGAATGTTCAGGAGAAAGTACCAAGTCATTACGGCTATATAGCACTTGGAAGGGATCAGGATAAAGATTTGGGATGGGACGGGGGAAAGGAATGGTGCCCAATCACTTGGACGGTCGGGGATTAAACATCGACCGACATGGAGCGAGACCGTCGGTCTACCGTCCACCCCAAGTGGTTGGGCAGTGACAGACTTCCATGTAAGCGCCAGTAGCGCTGTATAGACTTTATGATAAATGATGGGTACAGAAGCCTGTACTTCATATCTCTCCAATTATCTTTACCATGGGTAGCAAGTGATGTATAGAATTAGAATGATGGGATTTTCACAGATCTAAAATGAAACTACCTATAATAGACATTTAATAATATATTATGTAATTAAACAATGATAAAACACAAACCTTCATGACAGGCGAAGGGAACCTATATTTCATATCACACTCTCCCGACAGCACATCCCAGATGCACACATTGTTGTCAGTGGAGACACTCACAAGCTTGTATCCAGCTCTAGACCAACTGACAAAAAAGAAGATATTATACCTGCTGCTTAAAAAAAAAGCACTTTAGGAGTACAGTACTTTAATGAGCTGAAGAAATACTGTCGTATAAGCAACACTGTTATTCTTATATTTATACAACATAGCAACACTGCTTATAATGTAAATTAAGTTTGTGATATTTAATTCATGACTGCAAATATGTAATTCATAAACTTGTCATAATGATTTAATTGATGAATACTAATATACAATGCCTAAGCTCATCCTGCTATTTAGTATTAAGGAACATACACTATAAAGAAACAGACCTGAGAGAACAAACGGGGTGAACATGAGCACTTATAACCTTTGCAATGCCACGGGTTAGAAAATCCCAAATAACTATACGTCCATCATTACATCCCACAGCCAAGAGTGTTCCCCGTCTGTTAAATGCACATGTGACAGCTAATGATGCACAATCAAGGGCTCCATCAAACTCTTCAGGATAGTTCTGCCCAAAGGATTCTGAAAAAAAATGTACAGTAGAGTATTGTAAAATACAGAACTCAACAAACATTCACACCTCAGGTATTCATCAGTAAAGTTAAAAAGTATTTTATTAGAAAGAACTATGTCAAATGTCTGACATATCATCTAAAGTACAAATACAATGATGCAGAGGGAACTAAAACTGGCTGAACCAGTTGCCAGCTGACCAGGGCAGAAACGCCAGAGAAAGTTGGTGTAAAACAACTGGTACAATTGCAATTGCCGAAGATCAGTCGCTTGTAGACCTCAGGGGCTGTAAGAGCCTATAAATGTAAAGTCCAATCTCAAACAATGGCCGCTGTCTGATCGGCACTGATCAAACTCTTATAAGATTCTGAAGAATAAAAAATATGACTGATTAAAAAATCTAAAGAATAATTTTGCATAAATATTTGTGACCTTGATAATGCTACATGCTCCAAAATTCTAATTAATACCTTTGGTATTTAATAGCAAGTTTATTTATTAGACAGTAATAGTTGCAAAATGTCAAATCATGGCAAGAATATAGATTTATAAGCTGAGCCCAAATCACAAAGGTCTGTACCTGTACTGTGAGAAGCATTGACTAATCCCAATATGTTAATTAATGGACCCCAGTATCTAACAATTATTGAAAGCTGCTCATTTACACTCTGAATACTAAAACTAATGGATAAATCTATATCTATTACAAGTTCTTTTACTGGAATATTGTATGCTTTCCTAAAAAATATCCAATAGGCTAGGTGTGTTAGGCCTACTGTTGAAGTCTTCATGCACCCTAAACTGTATAAATACATTAGTAATATTTACCAAGCAGTTCTAAATTCATATTCGTCTTCTTTATGAGCGTAAAGTTTATATGAAGTTTTTCTTGACGACTGCAAGAGTTGTGCTAACGTTCAAGAAGTCAGGCTTGGGTGCTGGTGTGTGGACACTCTACATTCGTCTTGAAAATACTTGCAGCTTCCTCTTCTTGATAATAAGTAATTTATTCTTGTTTAGGATATGTGCTGTCTGTGTGTGCGGAGTTTCCCTCACTCTTCTTGATAACAGGTGCAGTTTGCATAAAGGTTTCCCTCACTGTGGAGCGTCCCTGTTGTTGTTGTGATGGAGCGGCACCGTCGCTTCTACCATGTTATGGTTTACATTTTCTTTGGGTTTACGGGCTCACTATAGCCTGTGCTACATGGACATTTTGTTCTGAATAGCTAAATCTAAAAACAATAATAACATTTTCTTTGGTATATCTGCCAAATGTAAACTGTCGGCACTATTATTCGTAGTGTGAAAAGATACATGAATTTAAACCCCAATCACTACCCAATCTCCCAACCTTTATGTTCCCAATTTGAACATCTTTACCATTGAGATCATTGCTGTTTTCTTATATGTGCTGCCAATCTGTTGTATGGTGTTTATAAATCTTGTTTATCTGTATCTTTTGCTACCCAGTCTCCCAATCTTTATGTACCCATTCTGAACATCTTTACCATTGTGATCATTGCTGTCTTATATGTGCTGTCAATCTGCTGTATGGTGTCTATTAATCTTGTTTAAATTACTAATCAAGCTGTCAATGTAATCAATCTGAGCTTTAATATAACAATGTGCTTTAATATACTTACAGTACTTATCTCTCTCATCTCATTTTTCTCTTGTAATGTATCTTTCATTTATCAATTCTGATTGAAATTACCTACTTAAAATTATCTGCTAGATTAAGGACCTGCCCGAAACGCTGCGCGTACTAGTGGCTTTACAAGAATGTAAATACTGTACTATCCAATGTATTCTCACAAACCCAATGTACCTTCTTGTATATATATAAATAAATAAATAAATAAATAAAGACGTCTCTAAAACAAATAACGCTATGCGCGTTAGTGGCTTTACAACATGACGTATTGATGATAGAGGATAGTCAGGAAAATGAACTTTCTAGTAGTGTTAGCGTTCAACCTTCTGTAGTGACAAATGTTGAAACAAAGGTTAAAGTAAAACGGTATAGAGAAATAAGAAAGAAATTAGATATGAGTAAGATCACCTTTGATGCTAGTAGCTGTTGTGCAAATGAGGAGAAAGCAGAAATGTTACAGTGTTGGGAGAGTCTGTCTGAGAAAATCTCGTATCTCATGGAATGTGACAGACAGGGCAAAGGTAGTTTTATTAAATCATGGATGAAAGTAGAGTGAGAATATTATCTTGGAGCGTTAATGGGTTAAAATCTAGTGCGGTGGATGTACACTATTATACTCTTAGATAGTACTATATTAACCTGATATGTTACATGGGATTCTTGTATTTGTACTCACTGAATTTGTGCGCCCCTTGAGGGACTTGAAGTATGGGAAGGAATAGAAATAGCCTAAGCTAATCTTTGAGTTTTTTTTTTTTTTAACTTGTCTCAATAAACCTACTTGAACTTGGAAGACCATTATGTATTAAAGTGTCAAATTATGGATAACCATAGAAATAAGGAAATAAGTAGTGTACCACTTCAAATTGTTTGGATGTGTGATAATGATATGATAGACAGAATACTTAGGAACTACAAGAATTTTGCCCCAATGATTGTAACACTTACTATATTAATATGCAATGTTAAATGTTGTATTGTGATTTGTGTATCTGTACTCACTGAATTTGTGCGCCCCTTGAGGGACTTGAAGTAGAGGGGGGTAGAAATAGCCTAAGCTACTCTATCCCTTTGAGATGTATTTTTTTCTTGTCTCAATAAACATACTTGAACTTGAACTTGAAGTGGCTTTACAAGAATGTAAAAACATCAATGCTATGTATTCTCATAAACCCATTGTACCTTATTTTATGTATATAAATAAATAAATAAATAAATGGGGGGGGGGTAGAAATAGCCTAAGCTACTCTATCCCTTTGAGATGTATTTATTGCTTATCTCAATAAACATACATGAACTTGAATAAATAAATAAAATAAATGTTCAACAAATGTGTAATTAGATAATTTAAAATGATCTACTACTAGAAATTTAAACCAAATATCTCCAGTTTACTAAAAGCAGCAAAGGCCTGAATTTACCTGAGGGCCACCAACTATTTATAGTGGCTTCGACGGGGACAGGAAGCCGGTGGCTTCTCAAAGATACCCTCCCATTTTCCTAGGATCTAGGTATTTAAATTTCTTGTAAAAACCGCATTACTTCGGCAAATTAGCGATGACTGAAGAGTAGTCACACACTCAAAGGTAGATAACAAGAGTATAAAGAGTTACAATATTGTTAAGAAAATCCTAACTATACATTTTAAATAGTCTCATTTGCAAGATCTTCCGTAATATATTGAAACAAACGGTTAAATATTGTTAAAGAAGTGTTTTAACAAGTTGAAACAAAGAAAGCAAAGGGACTTCCAAGACAGAAAGGAATCTGACTGGAAAAATATATGGTGAGTGGAGTACCACAAGGTTCCATTTGGGACCAACCCTTTCCGTCATATATATCAGTGCCATGGATGTAGAAGCGGATTAAAGATATTCATTGGTTTAGGCTTCTTGGATTCTAGACTGGCCTTTTTTAAATTATTTAGCAACCATTTTTAAGCAGTTTGTACAGTGCGGCACCACGTGCCATAATATGCGATACGAGTCCCTGCATTATTGAGGGTATAAAAGAATGATGATCTTTTATTTGTATTTTATTGAAAATACTTTAGGCAATAATACGGCTAGAAATCCCGCCGCCCCGCAGCGTGCCCAGCAGAAAGTCAGTGGCCCGGCGACTGCCAAAGAGTGTGGGTACTTGCGCTTCTTGCGTCTCTCCCCCAGTGGCGTGTTTTATGCTGTTATTTGTTGTGCTGGTGGTATTACATTGTTCGTATAGCACCTACAAAGTATCTAGGTGAGTTCAGTTCAATTGCTTTAAAGCAGGCAGGCCAGCAAGGTGGTCGTGGATGCCAAGTAGAGCGTCAAGACATACGGCGCTTGATTTCGGGACGGAAGTGATTTGTCGCCATTACTAAAATATTATCCCTGGTCGTCGCAGGAAAACCTTTTGAAGGTCTGTGAAGGTTTTAAAACGTTCATTAGAAAATATCTCAAGTGTTATAGCGCGAGAAGTGAAGCAGACCAATCGGAAAGAGTTTTTGATGAAGTGTCAGAGGGTATACTTACTGTACCGTGCCAAATCCACAAGTTAGCAACACTAGCCACAAAGCACAGAAAAAAAACTTCCCTAACACGTTCGCAGTGAACTCGTAGGGTCGCCTTCGTCCAGAAATATTTTACATTGACAGGTTAACGGTGTTATGGACTGATAAGGCAACATTTACTGGGACATGCAACCGAGGTGGAGTTTACCGTCGTGAGGCAGTGACCTCTAGGACCCACGCTTTATGGAAAGCATTCAAACACCCAGATTCGCCTATAGTGTGTGTGGTTGTTTTTCGGGCAAGAGTTTAGGGAAGCTTGTTGTGCTTTATACCTTAAAGTAACTCAAGCAGTTTACCTGGAGTCTTGTTTACCTTGTGATTATTTGCCAGATTCGTTTGAGTTTGCACGCACAAGCCAGTGTTCCAACAGAAGATGCTTCAGCTCACACCGCCAAATTTGTCACCAAGTTACTTGATGGTATCTCAGATCACAGATTCTTCTGCACGCTCGCCACAGGAACGGACGTGTCCGCTCTCACAGACCACTGGGACAAATCGTGTGATAGTCGGCAAGGCTCATTACACTAGGTCAGCCCCACTCTCATCCTGAAAATACTCGGGAGAAGATGGAGGGCCTTCTTAAGTGTTGAGCATTGCCGGGTAAAGTACTTGTAAGCTCGAGCCACTCCACGCGTCATCGAAAACCACTGCGACCCGGAGAAGGGGTGATAAAGGAACTTTGCTGCCGACCCAAGCTACTATGGCCCAGGGCACCCCCCCCTCGCCCTGTACCCTGTTGCATAGGGGCAAGGTTCGCCTCCGGGAGAACCTCGTTCTCCCCACCGCCGAGATTTTAGCACAGATCTCCACCAACGACAACGTCTCACATCATGGAGACAAGAGAGGGTGTTCACCTGCTCTTCAGCGATTCAGACCTTAAGAAGATACTTGCCACGGCCGCCACGACCATCCTACAAGACGCCGGCCTCACCCTCACGCCCCCACGACGCTACATGGATCACAGATCTCGACGACGACATCCTCGCTAATATTAACACCCAGAACCTGACGCTGACAGCGATAGCGGCCAAGACCATCACTAACGCCGACCTCAGCCGCAGACCATCATTGAAGTGCCTTTCAGCACGGCCATCGCAGCAATCCACGCCACAGACTACGGACTCAAATGCTGCGGTATCACGATACCACCTGCCCAAGTGTCCAAGCCGGGGAGAGAAAAGTCCACCCACCTCTGCATTAAAAGGTAATTCATATGCATTTTTACTACACTTGTCCCTATGTAGTGTTTCTTGTGATGTGCCTCGAGAACGGGGCCGCATTATTTTGACGAGCACTGTATACTAACAATAGTATTCAGTCCTAATTCGTTGTCTTCAAATTAGATAGGAATTATTGTCATTCGGCTGCAATGGATGTACAACTGCAATGTCCAACTTGTCAGGTGTACTAGTCTTATATATATAGAAATCTATCCGAATCAGCTCATATTATTAATATCAGGTTATATATTTACCGGAATTTACCTGAGGTCCACTAATATTTTAGGGGCCTCGACGAGGATAGGATGCCGGCTTCTTGTCAAAGGCTCCCCCATTTGTCCTGATTTATTGAAGCTGGAGATGGTGCTACATAGTCTTCCCGGCTTGGTGCCTTCTTTTTATAATTACTTACTATTTAAGCTTGAATTTTAAAATCCAACATTGTTTTATCATTTACGGCTTCGGCGGGTAGATAGTTTCATGAGTGTATAACCTAATGGGTGAAAAAGCATCTGTTTTCGGTCAATTTAATTTGTGTGGTGTGCTGCGTTCTTATGCTTTGTTTGGAATGTTTTTGAAAAGGTTATGTTTTGGATATCATCCAGGTCCCTTCTTGCGTCATCCGTCGCTGGATTCGCGTTTCGCGCTCTAGGACCGGCCCACCCCTCGGGACTTTTCCAATCTGTTGCACCCAAAAATACTGGTTCGGTAACTGGATTGTAGATTTGTGGAACCAATTACCGCGTAACATAATAGGCGTAGGCTCCCTTGATTGTTTCAAGCGTTGGCTAGACATGTGTGAATGAGTTTGGGTGGATATAAATAGGAGCTGCCTTGTATGGGCCAATAGGCCTTCTGCAGTTACATTGATCCTTATGTTCTTTCAGTCTTACATTGTGGCTTGTTGAGCTTGGAACCGTTGCTCCTCGTTTGTGTTACATCTAACCTTTTAAAGAAGTTGTCCGGATCAGTAAACAGGAAATAGTGCTATATGTGAACCATTAGAATAAACTATGAAGGAAAGACAAATGACAACAAAATTTAGCATACAGTACGTTTTATTTATTATGCAAGGAAATACATTCTAAGTTGAATATTTCAGTTGATAATGTACAGTTTATTTTCGCTTCATGATTCGTTCCTCAAAATTTTAATTTCATTTTGCTTTGGAGATTTATCACGCGTTACAATAGATGAAAATTGTGGAGCATGCACAAAATAGAATGCAAGTTTATGATTTCAGCTATACTGAACTGTACGTAAACTTTTTCTGTCAGAGTGTAGGTGGGTGGGTGATGAGTTCAAGGTGTTGCAGGGAGGAACAAGAGTTGGAGAGTGCATGTTGAGAGTCTAGGGTGTTGCAGGGAGGAACAAAAACTGAGAGTGTATGAGAGTCCAGGGTGTTGCAGGGGGAAAAAAGAGGTGGAGAGTGCATGGTGAGAGAGTCCAGGGGATTGCCGGGAGGAACATCATCTGGTCAACTACTCGACGGTGAAGTCAATGACGCCGTTATCAGTGCGGCCGACCAGGTATCCAAGAGCTTCCACCTGGTCCTCCCGTGTGTCAGTAACGTCTCCCTCACCATTGAAGTGCCAGGTCCAAGCGCCCTGTCAGGAGACACACGGTGAAGTGGGCTTTCGCAGTCAGCATTAACTTAAAACAAAATTCATTTATATAGTGCATTAAAGAAATATAGATATTATATAGGCTTCGGTGTTTGGCATGAGGCTAGTCAACTTCACAGTGGGAACAATATCCAAGAGGATGATTCGACGATGAATGAGCGTATACATACGCTTTGTTTGTAGTGAATATAAGAGCGTATATATGCCGTGTGTGTAGTGAATATAAGGTTATACATATGCTCTGTGTAGTGAATATGATAAAAGTATACATACGTTGTAGCCGTGTTCGTAGGCGTACACCAAGAGGTCTGGTAGAGGTGTTCCAGCTCCTCGGACAGACGCAAACTCTCCAATTACTAAGGGCTTGTCAAGCACGTAGTCAGGGGCGTCAACCTACGGAAAATATTGGAGATTTCCTAATTTTCTCCAGAATTCGACCCAGCCGAATCGTTTAACAACCAGGTACCCATTCATAACAGAGGCTACAGTTAAGGATTGGCGCCCGGTCAATCCTCCCCGGCCAGGATTCGAACCCAAGCCAAAGCGCTTGCGAAACGCCGGGCTAGTTTCTTACCACTGCGCCACGGGGTCTGCTGCAAAAGGAAGACTTGAAGTGTATCTTGGGTTAGCTGTTTTCATTATTGTGGCAGTCTTTGCAAATACGTGTTTCTTAACATGGGTAGATGGAGTCTTAAGAGTGGAGTCTGGAGTGTCATGAAAATATAAACCTAATTAAAGATGAATATTATATATTATTAAAACAGATTATGCATTATAGAACTCAATTGCACAATGCAAAGCCTATTCATACTAATATAGTATTTAGTCTAAATACACTATCAAAGGTGAACTTATTGTTTGAGGCGGGCAGTGACGACTAAAATGCTGAGATGTATATATGAACAACTTTTAAATAATGTCATTGCTAAAATTATTGTGTACTTATGCACTATCATGAATTAAGATTTTTTTGTTAGATTTCCTTAATATCGCATCACTGTCTACTATATAACCGAGATACTCCTAACTTGTGCTTCAAACTCACACTGTATCTTGTACTACCCACTTCCCTAATATTAGTACTTAGGACATATATATCTTTACCAGTATGATCACCTCTGTCAACTTATAGTGTAGTTATTTGTTGATATAAAACATTGCTACAATGTATCTTTTCATCTTACCTGACATGTTGGATTAAGGATCTGCCCGAAACGCTATGTGTTAGGCTTTGCATGAATATAAAAATACCGATCTTATGTAATCTCAACAAACTATTGTACCTTCTCGCAAAAAAATATTATTATTATTATTATTACTGTATAGCCGAGAGACTGACCGTGAAGGGAGCATCGATGGTCCAAGCCTCTAGCCAGTCATAAGTGTGCATCTGGTAGTAGTCAATGTGGGCGTCAGAACCGCCGGCAGCCTGGTTGAGACAGGTGTCGGTGTAGAAGTTGTTTGAGTTGGGGAACACGTCGTTCGCAGAGAATTGGCCTGCCAAGATGTTATGTATAATTAACTTCTCAGTTCATTATAGAGGTTTCGTCGCTATTATTCGCAAAAGCTCCACTATATCGTTGAGAGGTATAACCATGTTATAATCTGGCAACATTTAATTAATGGGGGAAAAATGTGTTTAAACATTAAATCAAGGTTACATCACCATCGTTTGTTCAGCTTTGTTCGGAAGGATACTTACTCCAGGCACCGATAGTGATCAGCGTCTCCGGGTCGATGCTGCGGACGGCCTGGTTCTGTCGCCCGATGAATCTAAGTATGCTGGGGAACAAAAGACACGTTAAAAATTGAGCCACTTGCATAACAAAAGACACACGTTGAACAAACTGATGATATGTTGCTGTTTCGTCCTAAGAAATCTTTGAATCTCGGGTGGTCGTGTAAAAAACCTTCACACAAACTGTACGTCCCATAAAGAAGTAATTTTCTTTGAAAATGTTTGTTGCTGTATGGTCTTCCTCGGAAGTAAAGTGATTCTAATGAATTGCTAGTTCTTATGTGTGTAATAATAATAAGTGTTGGTGGAGTATAAGTCCACTAGATATATACAATGAAATCATCTACGGTATAAATAAGGGTGTCTTTTTTTAAATGTAGTTATCAGAAAAAAATGTTTCACGTGTTGCCTTTCAACATGGGAAAATATTTGGAATATATACAGGATGAGATTCGAAATTATGTTTTTTATGTTTTTGGAAATATGAAAACAGGTGTTTGGACGGGACGGGGGGGGGGGGGGTTCTTGCGTGTGTATTTTTCTCTCTCTCATTGGTTCATAATAAATGAACTAAACTAAAACCTTCATTCTAAAAGTTTTTTTCTCGCTTGCGTAAGAATATCAATTCTAGTTATATACTGAGTGTTATAGTTATATTCTAGTTATATACGTTAGGCGAATTTTGTTGAATAATTAGTAGCTGCTGGTATAAACTGTTGCAACATTCAGCCCATCCTCCTAAAATGAAAGTACTTATAGTAAATATTTGGTGGAAAGTACCAATATAAAGTGATGGACCACCAGAAAGTTTATTTATGTATTACTGAATTTGGAAAAAGCGGAAACATTTTTAAACGCAACATAAATATAAGACCAAGCCTAGGCTCTCCTAGTAATCCCAGGCCTAATATTTGCTATCTTAGGTTTAAAATAATATATATGCGTGCTATACTTGGTCTAGGAATATTTAAGTTTGGTTTTATTAGTATTTTTTCTGGACTATAAATTTAATAGTACAAAAAGTGATTCTGATGGACTATCACTACACATTGGTACTTTCAATCAAATATTTAATACACTATCACTTAATTAAGGAGGATGGGTTGCAACATTATATAATTGAACATGATCGTTCCAAAACTACTAGTTTGAGGCTTGAGCATGTACCTCGAGCAGCACCTCCATATTGTATCATATTACTGCCAAAGTGAAGTAGAAACGATTCGTTCACAATCCTATTATCCAGCTTCTGTACAGCTCTCGCCAGTGGCTCGCCCATGGTTCCGAAGCAGGTATTCCTTGCAATTATTGGTTCTATGGCTATAATTTCTCTACTTTTAAGTTCACTCCAGTATCTCGTTCACAGCTCCGAGCTAATATTCTTTCCAATTTATAGCTCATAAATCAAGTCTGGAGCATCGACAACTCTTGTCAATATATTATCTCCGATGTACAATGATTGATTGCAATATTTATTCTGGCGTCGTAAAAGCGTGGGTCATTGATAATGATATAACACTATCTCCTGTTGCCAGCTCGTCTATACGTATGTCATTTTTACTATATATAACTACACCACCGGTTACAGCTCCTATGATTAAATTTTCTTGGATATTTTTTATTGTCTTGTGAGGAAGGGGGAGATAAGACAAGGGAGACGTACAAGTGAAGTTCTTTTAACTATTGCTCATGGCTAGGGCATTACCTCTCCGACCATTGCAAGGATGCTCAACACCACCCTCCCTCACAATGCCAGGCCAGGCTACTCACCACCTCTCACCCCACACCGTATTTCACATTTGTAAACGCACATTAATGACACTGCAGAAGACACCTCGAACACTGTTTATGTAGGACTGACGTATTTCTGTGTATTTATGTATGCAGGTTAGAGTAGCATTTTAAAAGCACTACAATCACTTTATGTGGATGTTGTACAGTGAATCACTGAACAATATATGTTTAACAGATCTCTAACCCTGTCCATGGAGAACAGAAGAAAATTAATATATTTTGGTTACCGTTGTAAATGTATGGCCAATTCTGTGGTAGAAAAAAAAAAAACGCCTGGCTAGGTTACTCGCTGCCTCTCCCTCACACCAACAGGCTAGGCTATATATACTCACTTCTCCATGGGGATTTCATTTCCAGCCCAACCGGCTCCCTGCACACCAATTTGGGTAGTGTCGTAGCACGGGTCGGTATTGCTCTCAACCTGCAAGGAAAGGTAATTATGAGGAGAGCGCGCTCAGCCAGCATGGCAACATAGCATTGGATATAAATTTTCGATCTTTTTCAACGCGGCACAACTGAACAAGTTACAGGAATTGTAAGGCGCCATAATTTTTTTAAGGAAAGACTTTATATATATACAGTATATATATCAACGGGAATTAAGAGCGTTTCAAAGTTTAAGAGCTAAAATTCTAATTATATATTTTTTTAAATAATGATGATCATGTATTTCAAAAGATTGTTTTTTCTTATTATTCCTGTTATTTGTTACCTTCCCTCAAACTCCCGCGATACACAGATTGAAAAATGCGGGTCTTTGAGCTGGGATATGAGGAAGGATTTAAGAAATGTAAGTCATTATCAAAATAAAGCACCAGGTCGGAAGGAATGACGCCTAAGGACTTACATTAACGGGGCTTGAACACCGACCCCGCAAGAAGCGAGGCCGTTGCTCTACCCAGCAGGCAAAGTGGATACCTGTAAGACCACAGCCGCTAGGGACCCAGGTAGAGGGAAAACTCGGTTGATGGTGAACCCAAACTTGGTCAAGTACGAACCGTTGGAAAATAACATAATAGACTGTTCTGTTTTATTCATTACTGACTGCCAAAATATAGTCTATACGATTAAACCAATTTCACGAATAGTGAAATTGGTTCATTTTATTTTTAATTGTTCAGAATAATTTTATAGCTTTAATTTATTATTCTTTTTGTTAAGAAATTATGGTATATCTATACTATAAATAATGAGTTAAGTTGGACAATCAGAATAAGAAAAATGATATACATAAATACAAAATAAATCAGCAAAATAAGCCACAGAGGTGCAAGTCTGGCGTAGATTTTTTTGGTTGATATTTGTTTACCGCGGACCTCAATTAAACTAACAGCAAATCGGCCTGAGTGACCTTGCTGACCAAGCCTATGGTACAAGAAATCCCATTCTCGGGGTGAGAAAGCCTCTTCAAGGCCTGGCCAGAATGATTCCGACCCACGAGCACCGCCACCTACCAGCACTATGCCCTCAGGTTCGTTGAACACCTCGTAGGACCCCAGGGCGGGGTGTCCCTTGATCGTCTCCATCAGGGGCTAGAAATGGAGAATCCATTATTACACATAACTTCGCTAGGCTAATGTATGTATAACCAACAAATGTTTTTTTTTAAAAATTCCATGATCAATGGCTTAAGCGGAGTAATTAATGATCAGATTATGTCACCAAGCCGGGAAGACTATGTAGTTACATATACAAACTCTTCAAATCTCCTGCTATTGACTGTATACTTACAGTGAGGCAGTTCTCTAAATAGGCGTCAAGCTTGGCGTCGTCATACAAGAGATCAATGGTTTTCTGGTTTCTGAGGACAGCGGCATTCCACATGCACAGATTCACAACCACGTTGCTCTCTTCAGCAGCGTCCAGCAGCGAGAGAACATCGTTCTCGAAGGTGCCAGTCCTGTCGCAGGCGGTGACGAAGCCGTCGGTGTCATAGTTCGGGGTGTTGTCGCCCTCCACGTGCACCCACACTCCTGCCGCCAGGGTGACAGCACACACGGTAAATTGGGGTATGGTTTCCCATTGTATTTGGACTTATAGAGGTCTCCCTAGCCCAACCCCAGGATGCAGTCCCAAACAGATGGGTATCTATTTATTGCTACGTGAACAAAGCCATCCGGTGAAAGAAAACGTGCCAATCCGTCTTGGCTTTTAGTTGGGTTGATCCACTGTATTTTTAACGGAGGGGTAAACCGAGAGAACGGGCTGAAGGAACGGAGGTATACAGTACTCAAGGATGAGGGTGTATAGTACTCACTGATGAAGGTGCACAGTACGGAAGAATAAAGGTGCACAGTACTCACGGATGGAGTTGCCGCCGGCGTCGGCAATCTCCTGGACCCAGGTGGCGATGGTTCCGTCGTAGGCGCCGTTGCCGAAGTCATAGCCATAGTTATGCCAGGCGATGTTGCTCCCGCTCAGGAACACCACCTCGTCCCCGTAGGTCAGGTTCGTGCCCGACACCTGTTAGTAGAACGGCGGGTAATCGACACTTGTTGCACACGAAACATTTTGTTTTAAGGATTAATAATAGTTATATCCTAAAGACCAGAGGCGCTCATCCAGGGGTGGGGGGGGGGGAATATCCCCAGGGGAGGGGTAATTTCAGAGTTTCAGGGGAGGGAATAGGGACCACAGACTCAAAATGTTGGAATATTCATCTTTCTGCAAACTACAACTCTACATAAAATACATAATCTACAGGACATCACACATTATTGTATGTCACAGATTAAAAAAATAACGATAATGTCACACGATTAAAAAAACGTTTACTTCTATCAGTGGAAATATTACATTTATAGTTATATTTTACTGTTGTTTTTTATTCACATATTTTGGAACCCAACAAGAGTGCAGAAAAGGAGGATACTATGACTCATAAACTGAATATGTATTCACATCCATCATCATCAGTGAAAAAGAAGGGTTTCAATGTGTTATTTGGAGCAAAGCTTTGTTAAACGATTCTATGAAACCAACAAAGCTGAAGCAACATTTGTAGAATGTTCATCCTCAACACAGTGACAAGGACAAAAAACTTTGTTAAACCTTATGGAAATGCTCTCAAAATTAAACTGGATTCAACATGAGCATTCCAAGAAATGAACCACATGGTTACTGAAGCGTCTTACTAAATCGTAGCACTGCAGGTAGAGTAGAAAATACCACATACAATTGAGAAAATTTGATCAAACCCAGACCAGCCGAATAAACTGAATCTTCAGATGCAAGAAAGGAATACAAATATCAGCTTTCATGTGGAAGCTGGAAAACTGGAAGAGAAAGTGCAAGATAAAAAATGCAATGCTTGATGAACTGTCATTAGTTCATGTTGCTGGTAATGATGACCAAGTGCTTCCAGAATTTGCAAACAAATAAATTTTGCAGCATTTGACAGCGAAGGAAAAAGAATTTAGCCGATATTTTCATGAACTTAGTGATGAGTAGTTGGATTTGATGTGAAATCCATTCAGATTGTCGGCTGCAAAAGTTCCTGATGATTGTTAAGCTGGATTTCTGGCGCTGAAGACTGATTTGAGAGCAAGAAATACGCTCGATGAAAAATCACTTACAGATTTTTGGACCATGATGTGCGATTCCTGTCCAAAAGTGGCAGGGTTATCCAGGCATTACTGCCATTTGTGTCGTTATATCACTGTGATTAAATTTGAATTTTGTTTCAAGTGAAAATGAAGCAAGGAAGTAGATTGGATGTTGAAAAAGGCCTGCGCTTTGCCCTTCCGACTCTGGCATTCTATTGAACATTTTGTGTATTGAAGTAGGCTTCAGTTTAGACTGTTAAGTAATTAGTTATGAATATAAAAATACTTCTTTCATTCAAGTTTTCAAATCGTCAACATTTTCTGGTGCTATTAAATTTGTAAACTTCCACGATGAAAATAATCCAAGCAAATGCATATGTATTAATATAGAAAAAATATAAGATTTTTAATATTATATGCATAGTATTTGGAATGCAACTTTTGAGTCATTCTTAGAGGGGTGAGTGAAATTCTGTCATGGTGAAAAGAGTGCATGGGACAAAAGTGCGTGTAAATAATGAAAAACCTCCACTTACCTGGAGTCTTTTGGCAGTGGTGGACCCCAAGAGGGCCAACAGGGCGAGAACGAGCATTGGGGCCATCTCAGCTGCGGTGTATGTTGTCACATCAGGGCCCAGGTGGCTCTGAATTATATACCCAAGTCCATCCCCCTCACCACCACCCCTCGTGACCACCAATCATGCATCGTCTCATGAGATACCCCACCTAGCAACGTCCCACGATACGCCCACACACCACCGTCCGATGATACGCCCACATAGCACCATCTCACAAAACGACCACCCACAGTGATGGTGTGGGGTGCCTTCAGATAGGCACCCACACAGCACCCTCCCATAAGGCGGCCACCCTGGATCGTTCCACGAGACTCTGACCCAACACTATCCCACGAGGCATCCACACAGCACCATCCCCAAGGCGCTCACCACACAGCACCATCTTGCAAAGCGTCCACCCTGAACCCATGAGAAGTACATGGGAAAACCAGATAACCGAAAACCTCCCGCCCTCTGCCAAGGTTATCATCTGGGAAAACTAAACTGCTGTTTATTTTTTTGTGGCACGATAGAGGATGATGAAGTTGAAGGTTAAAGTAAGGGTGACGCTAACCTTAACCACAAGGACGTACGTTGATGTGGACAACGAGTGTTAGTACAAGACAGGTACTTTCCTTGTCTTCGTTTTAAATTTAGATTTTATATCGTGTTATAATTAAGTACTTTCCTTGTCTTCGTTTTAAATTTAGATTTTATATCGCGTTATAATTTTCAAACCAACAAAATGTGGACTGTAATCAATTTGTACTGTCACATGAGAAGGCTGGGTTGCGATTGTTCCATAGAATATCGAAACGCTTGCCTGCCCGAAACGCTTTGCGTAATAGTGGCTTTAGGCATTGTATGTACTAGCTTCATCTATAAATCGATCAATTTATGTAAAATCTCTTGTATGTATGTACCTTACCTGAATAAACATTTTATTTTATTTTTATTTTTTCAACATGTTAGGTTCAGATAAATTATGGAAGCGGTGAATTGAAGCCTAGCTATAATATCATGCTAATTTAGGCTACCATTCCCCCATCAAGACTCTCTACTATTTTATTGTATATTTAATACTACGACTATTTACAGTATTTATATTTAACACTACGGCTATTTATATTTAACTCTACGGTTATTTATTTAAATATATAAAATAAGGTAGAATGGGTTGTGAAAGTACATATTTTGGTGATTAAGTTGTACAATCTTGCAAAGCCAAGATTGATACATGTCTACAAAATATATATATTTTGGCCTAAATTATATACACACGCTTTCTGTCTCCGAGAACGGAAAACATTAATTTAGTTATGATACAACTTTTTGAACTGAATTTATTGGTAAATAGTTGCAGTGCATTACATTGTCAGGATGGCCGAGTGGTCTAAGGCGCCAGACTCAAGGTAACTTCCCTTCCAATAGAAGGGCCATGGGCATTCTGGTCCTCTCTGAGGGCGTGGGTTCGAATCCCACTTCTGACATTAATTTTTTTCTCATAAGTTAGGTTAATTGAAGTTTTGATCGATTATACGCCTTTACAATTCCCTTCCGGACAGGTTTCAGCTCCTTGGGCCCGCCTTTCAGTCGCGATATGCAATATGTCCCATCTCTTATGCGGATCATACCTACTGTTCAAAATATGCATGAAGTTAACCTTACATTATATTTTAGATCATTCCAGTTGTTTTCTTACATTCTCAAAGCTTATACTGAGTTACTAATTTCCACCTACGTCTTTTGGCCCTGTAGTTGTTTTTCTCCACTTTGCCAATTATATTAAAAATCTTATATGTAGTGATCATGTCGCCATTTACCGTGTTCTTTATCCACCAGGGTGAGGCTTAGGTCCCAAAGTCTTACCATGTAGCTGAGTTCACTTAAGTTCGAGGTTCAGTCATGCAGCAAATCTTCAGGATTTTCTCTAGGTTTGCTTTGTGCCTTGTTCAGACGGGGATCTCCACATGTACTGAGGCTACATCTTCTAGTACTGCTCTAATATTAACAATGTATGTCGCCCTGACGGCTTCCTTGTCCAGATGCCCGAAGGCTACTCGAATGTTTGTACCCTTTGCATTTACCGCTGATGTTTTCTGGTTTGTGTGTGTTTCCAGTGATAGGCTTTGAGTTACAACTCCCAGATCTGTTTACAGGCTTTGAGTTACAACTCCCAGATCTGTTTACATTTCTTAATTTTATCCTTTACCTTCCAGTCATTCTATATACTTCCTGTGGCTTTTTCACCCTAGTCCAAAATTTCGTTACTTTGTATTTTCTTATACAGTTGAGCAACCATTTCCTAAATCATCCCTACACGTTATACACGTTCAAATTAGTCTTGTCAGTTTTGCACCATCCGCTAACACTTGAATATAGAATCCAACTTATGTTATTGACGTATAATTAGAAAGGCGAAGTATGGCCTGTTTGATAATTGACATCTTATGAACTCACTACGTTTTTTTTTTTTTGATAATTGCCATCTTATTAAAACACTACACTCGATTTTCAGCCCATTCTGTGAGCGGCAGTAAATTCTTGCTCATCCTGTGAGCGGCAGTTTATTCTACACCTTTTGCTCATCCTGTGAACGGCAGTTTATTTTGCTCCTCTTACTCATCCCATTAACAACTGATTAATAAGATAATAAAGGAGAAAGAATCACTCTATTCTTAACATTTTATATTTATATGAAAACGCGAACCAACTTGGTAGACGTAGCCTCCATAGCTCAGTGGCTAGAGCGCTGGTCTAGTAAACCAGAGGCCGGGAGTTCGATCCTCCCTGGAGGCACTGTGGTATCCTAATGTGTTTTTATGGTTACTTTATAGAAGGAAATTATTAAATTTACCATTTTCGGAGTGATGTAAAGTAGTTACTGTCAAATCGTAAGAGTATTATTTGGCGAACCTGATGGATTCGTTTTAGTTATCCATCTGACCGATTATGCTGTCCATGCCACCCACTCGGTTGTTTTTATTATCCGTGTCATAAAACTGGTCGTCTTTACACTCTGTCATTCACCCTGGTCGCCTGTGGTGTCCGTGTCACCCACCTGGTCGTTTTTATTGTTCGTGTCATCCACTTGGTAGTCTTTGCTGTCCTTGCCATACACCTGGTCGTCTTTGTTGTCTATGTCATCCACCTGGTCGTCTTTGTTGTCTATGTCATCCACCTGGTCGTTTTAACCGTCTGTGTCATCCACCTGGTCGTCTTTGTTGTCCATGTCATCCACCTGGTCGTTTTAATCGTCCGTATCATCCACCTGGTCTTCTTTATACTCCGTGTCATTCACCTAGTCATTTTACTGTCCGTGTTCTACACTTGGCCAACCACTAGGCTGCACGGTCTTTCTTCAATGCAGGTCAGCGTTCAATCCCCGACTGTCCAAATGGTTGGGAATCATTCCTTTCCCCGGTCCCATCCCAAATCATTATCCTCACCCTTTCCAAGTGCTATATAGTCGTAATGGCTTGGTGCCTTCTCCTGATATATAAAGTATATAAAGTACACGTGGCCATCTTTACGGCCCGTGTCACCCGTCACCCACCTAGTCGTCCCTACTGTCCGTGACATCTACCTGGTAGTCCTTACATCCCTATCATCCACCTGGTCGTTTTAACTGCTTGTAGTAGACGAACAAGGGAATGCAGGTGTGAACAGAGCACCCAAAAGCTGCAAACACCTTAAATGATTACCTGAATGTTACCTGAATTTATCCGAGGGTCACTAGTGGCCTCGACGAGGACAAGAATCCGGCGGCTTGTCAAAGTGAACAAATAAGACGCAGTAACATGTGATGCCTGAAACGCTAAGCGTGTTAGTGACTTTGCAAGAATGTAAAAATATCATTAACGTAATCTCACCAACCCATTGTACCTTCCTGTAAATAAAATATTATTATGTGGGAGAGGCATATTCTACACACAAACATTCAGTGTCGATATGACAGCCCAATAGGCTCATGGAGCTGCACTAGCTGATAAGCTCAGAGAGCTATACTGATAGGCTCAAAGCTCACGGCGAAGTACTAGCTGATAGGCTCAAAGAGCTGCAATGATAGGCTCACTAAGTTGTATTTGGCTCCAAGTCTCATCAGAACCTTTGACAAGCCGCCGGCTTCCTCTCCTCACCGAGGCCACTAGAGATGGTGGCCCTCAAGTAAATACAGGTAATTCAGGTAAATTATCTTTTGCAGTTCAGCTTGTATTGGGGTCTAAGTGACAAGGTGTGTGGACCAAGACAAGAACAGACATTTAATACTGAGTTAAAACTGAGTCATTTAAGGGATAAATGTAAACGTACGTTGTATGAAATGCCAAGTCATTTCACTTCAAATTATAAAATATTTGCAATTCTTGCAAATTGTAAATATAATTCCGTATGATAATTCTAGTACATGAGATTTGTTAAGTTTGTTCCTCAGAGCCAATAGTGGAAGTGTAGTGGAACCACAACTAATGGTTGTGGTTCCATTAGTTTAAAATGGGCCAACGCTAAACTAACCATTAGTTTAGCGTTGGGCTTAAGACCTATCGACTTTTGGAGGGCTATTAGGGGGAACTACAAGTGCTTCCTAACCATCCAGCATGTATACTTTAGTTCTAAACATGGACCAGGATTAAAGTAAACTCAATATGTATACTCGAAGATCCCAAAGTTCAAAATTAATTAAATTTCGAATTATTAATATGTAAGAGTTATACATTGAATGAGTTTCTTCATTTTCTGTTTTCCAACACAGAAAACATCTCTTACGTCGTGAGTGTTGATGATGGCCAACTCAAGTAAAGCCAGGAGAACGATACAAATTATTAACTGTTACCATCAGTTGTGGCTAATTTATTGTGCGCCCCATACTCATCCTGTGAGCGGTAGTTGATTGAGGAACCCTTCCTCATCCTGTGAGCTGTAGTTTATTCTGTATCCCATACTCATCTTGTGATTAAATATAATGGGGTTCGTTTTTTCTGATAATTTGGTACCGTCATCTGGTAGCCTCAACAATTACGAAGGGCACATAAGGTCTTAATAAGACCCCCAGAGGATATTATTTGACAATGATTGTTACAGTTCCTATATAATTCATTGTGTCGGGGGACAGGCAGCCAGTACATATCATTGTTAT